TGTTGTTGGTGGAGAATCGTCATCAATCCTTAAAAATTAAAAGACTTGACAATTTATCAACCAATTAATTATCTAACTTAATTATTAAAATAAATCCTAAAACTAAACATTGACTAAAGAAACTCAAGAAATTTGAAATATTAAATCAAAATTAAACAAAAAAAACATATGCATACATAAAAAAAACAAAAAATCAATGTTAATTTAAGGGGGAAATGGGTAAAAATAAGGTTATTGGTCCTTTTGGGGTCGGTGGGCCCTCACCCCATTGGGCCGGACCCACTAGACTAGGGAAACTAGGCTCGCAAGCTCGTTAATTCCCTTTCTCTTTTTTTTCTCTTTTTTAGGCATTAACCCAACCCTTAGCCATATAGGTTGGGATTAGCTAAGCCCGACCTTTCTTTTCTTTAGCCTAGCCTAAACCCTATCTCACTAACATATTTTCCATTCTCCCCTAGTTCTATCTCGATCAAAAATTCCAAATCTCATCTCTCTCTCTCTCTCTCTCTCGTCTTTTATCTCTAGTTCTTCCGCTTTCTATATCTTTAACCCAATTTGTCCATCTTCTTCATCTTCCTCTATATGCTTTAAACCCATCTCCTCTTTGCTCTCTATTCTTCATTTCCTAAATCATTCCTAGGAAGTAATTGATTCTCTAAGCCTTCTTCTTCACCTTATTTCTAAAACCTTAAGATTTATCCTCCTTCTTCGATTAAAATCGTAAAATTCCTACCGAGATCAAAACAATCTCTCTTCCTAAGCACCACCTAAAAAACCATCTTTTCTCTCAAACTATAACCTTAGATTCGTTACCCTTTCATCCAAATTTAAGATCGATCGATCTCTCCCTTCTATCGACTAGAACCCTAGTTTTTATTCTTCCCTCAATCTCTTCTTCTTTCCCTTCGACTCAAAACCCTAAACTTTAAGTCTCTCTTCAATCCAACCTTAACCTTAAATCCGTCACTAAGTTTTCCAAATTTCTTTTGTATGTCTCAAATTCGAGAATCCTATATTTCAATTAGTTTCCTAATTGAAACCTCACCCATACTTAACCTCTAAAATTGAACCGACCAAACCTAAAACCCAACCCTTTCATCACATCAAAACCCATTTTTCTTCTTCATCTCACAAGTCCTAGTTCGAAAATAATTCAATAAAGCGGGAGGTTTTGGTGCAATGCCGTTGATGAAATCATTTTCATCACTTGATTGACAATAATTAAAGGTTTAGGTAAAATGAAATAAACCATAGTTTTTTACTTGAATAGTTGATCGATGAAGCCTTGGTAAGGAGATACGATGGCAACGAGCAATGGCTCTCTTAATTAGTGGAACAGAGTCCTTTAAAACATAGGAGCTATAAATGATGTTCTTGATGTGGATGATTCCAAGTGTAACCCTTCTCCTCACAACTTGGTAAGAATCTCTAACTTGTTTATGATTTGTCTTTGTCTCAATTCCTTCTCCTCTTTGAATTTTTCCCACAGCTTCCTCCTAACTTACTCTTAACTCCCTTAGACCTCCCATATTTTCCCTCTCTCTACTCTTTCCTATTTTCCCCAATTCTTTATTTTCATAATTTCCCAATTCCTCTCTACCTTTTTACCATTCATCAATCCCCTCTCAATTGCCTAATTCTTTTAAAGTTGCCTCCCTAAAACCCTAAATTTCACCCCTATTTATACCTAAAATTCTCCCCTTCGCTTTAGGGATCAATTTCCTTATGTCCAAAACTCCCTCCTCGACCAAATAATCTTTCTAGTTGGTTGTTAGTTTTGATTTTATATGAATAAAGCCAAAACAATTATGCTTTGTGACTATGTATTGTGTTTTTACCGTTTTGGTGTTTTTGGTTGTACAAGTTAGTGCAAAAGCAAAAGGATAGTCGTAGGAGTTGTAAGGTTGACTCGCTTTATCCCTCCGGCCATTAATAGGGATGAATAATGCCGGAGGGTGGTTGTAGAGCAAGGCGGGCATATCATGGAATGATTTTGGGAGCATTTGGATGACAAGTCAATTAGGTCTGGTTTCGAATTGGTTATGTCATCTACTACTCGTGTCAATTTAGGTTCATGCAGGTTTAGTTTTATCTTAATTATACCCTATAGGTGAGTCATTATAATCTATGTACTTCTAATTTTTTTCAATGGGGTCCTTATATCTTGTAATTTTAGTCTTAAATGTTTCAATTACTTCAATTGTATCTTTAATTATGTTAATTTCAATTCGTTTTATTCAATCGCATGCTTGATGTAATTAATTTTTATATTTTGTATTTTATATTCTTTATTTATTTTTTTATTTTTTTCTTCTTTTATACTAAATTCTAAAATTAAAATAAATAAAAATAGTAAAGATAAGATAAAAATAACATAAAATAAATAAATAAACAATAAAAATAAAATAAAAAAGAAAAGATAAAAATATTTAAAGGGGAAATTTTTTTTGTTTATGACAGAACTAATAATTGAGCTTTTTAATCCTAATAGACAATCAAAATAACAACACTAAACTAAAAGCTAAGGAATTAAATTATTAAAATACTAAAAACTCGTTGGCCGCAATGTGAATAAAAACATAGTAATTACGAACTTAAAGGCTTTATAATATAATATTACAGTCTTTACATTGCTTTTAACTTAAAAACAACAAACTTACAGTAAAAAAAAAAATATGAGTATTCACAAGTAGGCATTCTAATCATGACAAATCTTGAAAGAACTAGGGATAGTGATTGGTGCAACATGAACAAAGGATCATAAATCAGTTATCGACTTACAAATTATTGCCTATTGAATTACCGCATATAAATTACTACCTACAGATTACTATCTATAAGCTATCACTTATAAATTACCGCTCGATAGTTGCTACCTAACAAGTTTCAAGTGTGAAACTTATGAAAGTGCTCCTTGAATTATTTGTAATTTGCAAGAGTTTCCTTGTGTGTTGTATTTTTGTGTGTTTCTTTTTTATTACGACTAGTATCTATAGACTTCTAGCTCTTCCATAATCTTCTATAATGGGCCACTTTCTCTCATGCATGTTATAGTGCTCCATGTTCTTCTTTTCTTGCACTTTAATGCATCTATGTTCTTCTTTTCTTCCATTGCAATGCACCATGCTCCTTGCCCTACTCTATTATTTTTGTGCTACAATCTCCTACATTCCTTCTAACTCGTTTTCATCTTACTTTTATTACTACTAGAATTTTACTACTCTTTAACTACCTTTTCACTACATGTTGTTGATTACTTTCACCCTCAAAATTAGACCTTTTTTCTCATGTTTTTCCTCATTTTTACTTTGTTGGAAATCCTTCTTCGTTTGTTTCTCTATATCTTATCGAAGGAGTTCCAACATTCTTACATAGATCGATTAGTTAGACCAAGTGCATTTGTTGGATTTAGTGAGTTTGGAATGACTTTTTTAAAATTAAAAATACCTAATAGGCGTTTAAATAAAGCTAATAAAAAAAGATTAAGAAGAACTTGCTGGAGAACATGATAGGTTTTATCCATCATTTTTATCCAATTTATTAGGCCAAGGCTCGTAAAAAATTTGTATATAACAACATCGAATAAATAAACAATATGTGAGCAATATATAAAAATTGAGAAAATATGGTCTACTACAAGGTTTAAGTTTTTTAAATAAAATTCAGTCTTTATTATTTAACTTAATATAATATTAAAATCTTAATGAGACTCAATGTTCCAAGTAAAGATCTCAAAGTTCAACTCATTTGAATGATCCCAAAAAATAGAATGTAAGTGAGGAGGAGTGTTAGAAAGTATATTTAACATCGAATAAATAAATAATATATGAGTATTATTTAAAGTTGAGAAAAGGCCATTCATCACAAGGCTTAAGTATTTTTGATATAATCCAATATTAACTATTTAACTTAATAGTGTAATTTGTGTTTTTTTTTCTTTTTTTCATTGAATTAAATTGCAAAAAGATATAGTTTCATTAATAAAAAGAATGAATTTTTATTTTTTGCATTTTCATTACCAACAGAATTCAGTTTTCTTTTTTGTCATTACCAAAAGAATTTCAAAATCATTTTTATATTTTGAAGAAAAAAATTATTTACCTATGTAATATTTCTATTAATAAATTCATTGCTAAAGGAATATTCTGTTGGTCAAAAACATTTTTTTGGTAGTGTATTTTCTTAATATTTAACAAAATGTATCGTGGGTTGAAAGGGTGCCGAAAATATATAAACAGTAAGAAACCATTCTGCTTTCTAAGCATCCCTTAAACATGATTTAATTTTAGATCAAAAATTCAAAAAAATATATATTTTAAATATTTTCCTGAAATTCAAGATCAATATATCTGAAAGAATGCCAATCATCAATTTCTTATAACAGTTTTGCAACAACCAGATTCAAATAAGAGCAAAGATGGAATGAAAATTAAATGTATGTCTTAACATGCAAGAATGCTGCAAATATACATGCATTAAAAGGTAGTTGAAACTCCGCTTGATGAATCGAAACTGCATGCAGAAGTACAGAAGATGAAAATCTACTATAAATGCATATACGAAAAAGAAATAAGCGATGGCCTTCACATAAAAGCTACATATGCTAGCCTGAAGAGAGAAAAAACACAGAAAGGAAAAAGGAAAAGATTCTGCTATAAAATGGACACAATTAATGAGAATCTAAAAGGAAAACGGTAATGCAATTTTTATTTATTAGACCTGAAAGTTGAAAAGTACAACAAAATAAACGTACACAAAATAAGAGAATCCAAAAGTACAACTAATATTCCATCCGTCACATTCATGTTGTGAAGAGGAAGACCAATCAGAATTGAAATTTCAAATTAAAACCCATGGAGTCTTATTTATTTATATCTACATCTTCATGAGCGATGACTTGAAAGCATGCACAAGTTATATCCATAGGCTTCAACTTAAAGGTATAATTTTAGCACGAGATTATGAAAGACATGTGCAAGTTTCAACTCCATAAAATTGCCTTAGTTTTGTAGGGAATGCCCAACACCAGGGCTGTGGCCGGGGGCAGTAGGTCTGAAGTCATCTACATGACCCGGTGGGGATGGATGTGGCTCGCCAAAAGCTGGAGTTGAGGGTGCAGGTGGAGACACTTTGGTAGCATTGACTGGTTTATCAAGGTTATCATTAACATGTAACTTGGTGGTGTTCTCAACAAGTTTTCTTGCTTCCTTTTGAAGGAACTTGTTAGAGGTTTTGAGCTTCAAATGCCTTCCCTCAATGAACTGAAGTTCATGGGATAAAATCAGAACGAGGAAAACAAAGGCAGAGAGCAAATTTATTTGGGCCATGTAGCAAGAAACAAAGAGGAGGGTTGGAAAGATAGAGAGAGTCTAAAGCAACTGGCTCAGTTGAAGAAGAAAGCAAGGCAATAGGGTAAACTAGCTAGCTAGCAACTTGCATGCTAAACACTGTCCTCAGCTTCGGTATAAATAGAGCAATGCATATGAGGGCTGACGTAAAATGTACTGGAGATCCGGAGGAGGCAGCCATGTGAGCCTTTAAGAAGTAAAATGCTAATTTCGAGAATTACAACTCATGGCTCCTCTTGTAAGAGATTTTACAGCTGGTTGAATTGTATAAATTCTATTTGATATTCAAATAATAATAATAATAATAATCCAAATTGTCATGATTGAACAAGAGCAACTAATATTAATGTTCGCTAAAAATTAAAGAGTCCTAAATTTTTTTTCCAAAAAAAATCTTTTGAATGTGTCACCCTCTTTTAGAGAATATATTTTGCTTCAAATAAATAAACAATCAATAAAAAATATAAAAAATTAAGATTAAATCATCTATCATAATGCTTAAGTTTTTTCAGAAGAAATATAAATTTTTTTATCTAATTCAATATAATATAAGAGCCTAAAAAAACAAAAATCTAACAAACCAATAAAAATTATAAAGTTCAAGTCATATGATAGATTTCAAAAAATGAACAAAAAATAAGAAAGAGTGTTAAAAAAATATATTACATATCTAATAAATAAATAACATAACATATAAAGTTAAGAATAAATTACTCATCACAAAGTTAATTTTAAAAAAAAATTTGAAACCTAATTATTTAATTCAATATACCCCAAGCTTAGAAAAAAGGTCTAGTGCACAACTGAAACGGTCTCTAAACCTGCAGGGGAGACACTGAGTTGGGCTTATTTTCCTCACCACCCCAAAAATAATTTCTTATTGCACATCAATCTATGAGTCATTCATTTAAAAAATAAAAAAATAAAAATAAAAGAAGAAGAAGCTGAGGGTGACACTGTTTATTTACTGTAGCAGTGCCTTTTTTTTTTTAACATGGCTGGCCTCTTTTTTTTTTTTTTTTTTTCTTTTTTTAAAAGGGCTAGGGTGCTGGACCTGTTCTTCAGTGCAGCACTGTAGTAGTACACTTTTTTTTTTTTTTTTTTTACGTCTGGCCTCTTTCTTTTTTTCAATTTCTATGTGTTCTCGTATGACAATTATTCTCCTTCTATATAAATAATTTATTTTTATATTTTTTTACCATTAAATTAGGTATGAAAATATAAAAAAGATCGTTATTTTCTTTTTTACATACAGTTTGACAATAATAGAATATATGTGATATTTTTTAAAATTTTAATTTGAAAATATATATCTTAGTATATTATTTTTATTATTTAGAATTTATTTCTTTAATTTTTTGTTTTTTATTAAAATTCTCATTGAATTAATTTTTAAATTTTATATAATTTTATTTGTTAATAAATTTGATTTTTTTTTTATATATGGCTTTTGAAATAAAATTTTAAAACATGACTTTTTATTTTTAAAATATATTATTATAATTTATATGATTGATTATTTTTATGATTTTTCAATGAAAATGGTATTGATACATTTATAAATTCTGATGAAAAAGAGAGAGCAAAAAGTGTGGTTTAGATAATTTGACTTAATTGTTTAAAAAAAATAATAATAAGTTAAAAATAATTTGACTTGGTTTTTAAAAAAAATTAATAATTAGTTAAAAAATTCAAAGGTTTTATTTGGTTATATATATATTTTCCGATGAGGGAGAGAGCTAAAAGTGTGTTTTAAATAATTTGACTTAATTTTTTTAAAATATAATGATCGATTAAAATTCGACTCAATTTTTTTTAAAATAATAATAATTAGTTAAAAAAATTTACAAGTTTTATATATATATAATCAGAATTTATCAAAACTAATTTTATATAATATTTTTAATTTAAATCTATTTACTTCGATATATTCCATGCGATTTAGGTGGTTTTTTTATATTTATTTATTTATTTTATATACTCTAAATCTAATAAGTAAGATATATATATATAGTTTTGTTAGTTTTGTTAAAAATTAATTATATCTACACATATAACATCAATTATTTGTTATTTATTTTTTTTATATTCTAAAATCTGTATTTTTAAATTAAATAATTTAATTAATTTTTTAAAAGAACCTTTTAATTATTCAAATATAAATTTTTATACTAATGTTATAAATTATTTTGTTAATAAATATATATAAATAAAACAAGTTTGTTGAATATATAGATTTGATTTATATTAATCTTCAAAAATAAAATATTTACTCGTATCATACCTTACGAATCGTTAACTCTATATAAATAATAATTATCTCATTATAGTGTAGCACAAATGCCTAACTAGTTTTATCTAATTCAAATCGTCACACCACAATGAAAGTCTTGGATTGAGTCCTAGGCTGCGTAGGGATTTCTTACACTGACAAGCGTCCGCTCTCACACCATTCTGTCATCTCCCATGCTTGTGGAGAGGGGCTTGGTGTGAAACTAAACCTCTAAACTTACAGGTCCAACATGCATTAAGTTGAGTTTATTATTTTCACTATCGAAAAATAATTATTTATAATACATAGATACATTTTTTTTATCTAATTTAAACTTTGGAATATAAGATATCACATATATAATGTGTGCGCAAACAATTTCTGACGTCGTAAAATTAATTGATGCTTCATTCTATCAAAAAAAAATGAAAATGAAAAAAGTATTGCTTGATCGGATATATGTTCGTAGATGTGACTAAAAAATGAGTTGATTGCACCTTATAATCTTGAAATCAAATACGAAAAATGCATGCTAATTAATTCACCCTTTTCAACCAGTATATCAAGCCCACAAATTGTTTATTTTCTTTTTCTATTTTATTCTCATATTGTTCAAATTATAGGCCTCGAAGAAAATATGCATATGGTCTATTATAGGTTGAATAATAGTTTAATGATACTTTAGATTTTTATGGTATTCTTTTTTAACCAAAACAACCAAATAGTTCCAATTAAAGTAATTGGATGTTGAGAAATTTTATAATACTTAAAGAGTAATTGGCGGATATATACATAATTACTCCATGAATCTACTTCTCGGGAGAGAGATAGACACATAAAAAAAAAAAAAAAAAAAAAAAAAAAAAAAACCTTCATCCAGACCTATTAAAAATAATAAAAAGATTTTCATGTTAACTCAATTTTTTTTTTAATCTTCTCTCTAATATTTCTCTCTCCTATTTGTATCTATCTCTCTTTATGAAGTAACTTTTACTTCTTGAATATTATAAAATTTCTCATTGGATGTCTATAGTATGATGCAAAAGACAACATTAGTCTCTCCGTTCATGATTAAATTATTTTTTTTATTGGTTTTGAATTTCAAATAAAAAAAAAGGGACATGTGTTAAATTTTAATATTTCAATTTAAATAAAAAAATTAATTTGAAAAAATTATTCCCAATTTATGTTTCATTCACCACTAGTTATTTTTTATTAGTGATATAAAAAAAAACTTTAAAAAAGTTTTTTAAAAAACTTACAATAATTACTCCTTAAGTATTATAAAATTTCTCATTGGATGTGTATGGTATAATGTGAAAGACAATATTAGTCTCTCCATCCATGATTAAATTAATTTTTTATTGGTTTTGAATTTCAAATATAAAAAGGGCATGTGTTAAATTTCTAATATTTTAATTTAAATAAAAACACAAAAATTTGAATTAAAAAATGTATTGCCAATTTATTTTTCATTCACCACTAGCTATTTTTTATTAGTGATATAAAAAAATTAAAAAAAAAGTAAAAAAAAAACTATCGAAATTTTTTATTAGAAATTTGTTTTTCTTAATGTTTTACTTTTTATGCTATTACTAATACCGTAGTGATTATGCGGGTCTTATCAATCAAAAGATGGTATAAAAATATTAAGGTGATGAGTGAATTGATTAAACACACGTGGTGGTTGTAATTTTATAAATTTCCATAGGTATGATTTTTCAATTTATTTTTTAATCATTTTTTTCAATTTTTTGAATTTTAGAAGAAAGTAAAAAAAAAAAATCAGTGTAATTTAAAGAACAAAATTACTAGCATTAAATGATTAAAATACCAGCAATTTTTTAAAAAAAAATTATTCGAATTGAAATTTTTTATCAGCTGTTTTTTTTTTTTAATGTGAACCAATAAAAATTTGTCACAATTTTCTCTTTTGAAAGTAAAAATTAACTGAAAATTAGTTTGACGACGGATAAAAAGACCGGCATTGCTACTCCACCAAGCCACAGCTATACATTCAATTGCGAAAATTAAAACAACGGGATTGTCTTTATCAAAAATCGATATTATATAGGCTTTTTAGTGTCATTAAAATGTCTAACAATAGGGAGCTCTTTAGACTTATAAGAATGCCATGGATCCAAACTCTTCTCTACGGAATTTAAGGTTAAGAAAAATGTCACATTGTAAAAAGGGCCAAAATGACCCTTCAATTTTGTTATAGTGACCAACTCAATCTCTATCAGAATAATATAATTCTTGTGCCTTACTGTCAATTGAATATATTATATTTTAGAGAAGGTTAAACTCTTAGTTAAGAATTTAATTAGAAATAGTTTTATAGTATTTTTTAACGTAACTTCTCAAATAAAAGCTTTTTGAACTTAAAATTTATACAAGTCTATCATTATCTTATATTAAATTAGATCAAAAAGTAAAACCGATGATATTTAAATTCACGATCGTTTAATTATTAAAAATTTAATATTTTATCAACAAATCATCTCAACTTAAAAATTTAAACTATTAAATAAAATTTCAGAAATGATCATATACTATTCTCTATCGTTACTAGCTATTGTAACTACTAATACTATCATCTTCACATTGTGTGACTATGAAGTACAAGGTTTAAAGAATTAAATATGTCAAATAAATTATTCCATGTTTACAACCAGAAGATTCTATCTCACACTCACGGACATTTTACATTTATAGGGCATAGCTTAGAGCTGTAGGATGCTCTGTAAACAGTTTGCATGCCCCATGCAGCCGTTAAATTGTATATACTCCTTCAATTAAAAATCAACTTCGACATTGAAGAGTATTATAGTGCAAAAGGAAGATAGCCGCATGCATATCTTTCTCTGATCTGATATATTATTTAACCATTGAATCTAATATTCAAATCTGAAATCATTAAGGCCACAACCGGCAAGAATCAATTTGGAGGACAAGTTGGCGATTATGCATCCGCCCAAGTCCCACCATTCATATTTTCAATTGATACTTATTTTATCTTTGGTTGTTTGTGGTTCTTTCTTTCTATTCTGATTTCTTTATTACAAATTGTAGGCGTTTTTCTCTTTTTTTCGCCAGTCTATAGAGCTAGGGTTGTTATAATAGAAGTCAAGAGACAAGGTGGCCAGCTTTCCAACCAGAAACCTTGAGAGTCATTTTGGCGCACGTTAATGTTTTTGTTAGTGGCCAAAACCAGTACAGCGCCTTGAAAAGTCATCTTGGCGTTTCAGCTTTATAGTCGGCACCGATATTCTACGGATCTCCCCATTATTTATTCACTTCTATCTGATCATTTGCCATTCCATAAATTAATTTTTTTAAGCATATGCCATATGCTTTGGAATATGACTTTACTTGTCTTCAAGGTTGCTCAATTAATACTGGGTAGGTTTGTTACTATGTGAATGGAAAATATATATATATATATCATAAGATGAATCTGGTGTAAGAATGATTTACCTATATAACTCGAAAGGAATATAGTTTTTTTTTTTTTAATAGTAAAGATATTTTTAAATCAACTTTGATGTACCGACACAATTTCTCTTCGATTGAGCCTTCAAAAAAATAAATTATTAATTAGGAAGTATTGATCTTTGTTGGTTCAAATAAAAAGCATTGTATCCTGATTCATATCATTAAAACTATACATTCTCTTTATATTATATTCTATAGTTCAATTGATTATGGACCTTTTAATGCACCAAGAAAATAATTTAAATTAGCTAATCATTTTCCTAAATTTAATAAATCTTTAAATTGCATAAATAATTAATCTGAAACTTATATAGATTATTAGAAACCTATAAATTAAAGGCAAAGAATAACTTCAACAATATTCAAATAAAAAAGAATACGTGACTTGCAATGGTTGTTAAACATACTCATAATCTCTTATTCTCTTAGGCCGTAATCATTTCTATTATGACTCCAAAGTCTTGAACTTTCGTACGCAAAGAAAACACCTAATTCAGTCTTAACCACCGTAATCTTTTCCTTTTTGAAACCAATGTTTTGGTCATAAGGCGAGAGCTCCCCTGACATGATTTGATGGATGCAGTGTACTTGTACCGATCTTTTTGGACAATATGTTCACGGCGCCTGAAGGCAGGCCCAAAGGCTCATAGCTTACATTCTATCTTCAACGCAGCCCAATACACAAGAGGGCTTACATCCTAATTGTCCCTATCCATATAATCAATTAATTTCCATAATCTAAATCCTAATTCCATATTACTGGGTATATGGGAATTAAATAATTTCATTTGTTAAACTATACACTTATTAGAAGAAAACCCCTTTTTTCTTTTTTTTTTTTGGATCAATCTTCTTTTCTTTTTCTCCTAAATAGAGGTACCAGATACTTCGTTTTTGGAAGAGATTTTGACTGGTAACAAACAGCAAAAGAAAAGGAAGAAATATCACATGGCATTGAGTAAAGCTATTCTTTCTTTATAAACAAAATAGACCTTCCTGATCCACTGTGGGGCATGGCACTTGCAAATTGCTTTTATCTGAGACGTAGCCCAGTTGTCTTACGTTCTAACCTTCAGCTCAGCCCAATACTCAAAAGGGCTTACATCCTAATTGCTCCTTGCAAGCTGAAAGGAATGGAATTTGAGCTTCTTGTTAAAAAGAGAAGATAAATAAGGAATTGCCATTGCTTAGAACGATAATTTTATAGCATTCTTTTCCAACCGTCCGGGCAAGTCTGTAACAAGGGTAATTGAAGTAAGACATTTAATGGAAAATGAAGCCAGGCAAACAATGAAAAGTTTCCAACCGTCCGGGCAAGTCTGTAACATGGCTTAGCCATGTTGCGCGCTTGTCTTTTGTGTGTGTGTGTGTATATATATATTAGAACCAGTTTTCAGATCAACCCAAGTCCACCTCTTTCCAAGCCACATTCAGGCTTTCGTCAATTATTAACCGCATTTTTTAATCAAATCAGCCAAAATCTAGTACCATTAAAAATAATTATTGCTAGTTATCCATGATACCAAAACATGCCGCTATTAAGAATTCAATATAATTTTAGCCTCGTATTCCATAATGCCATTGAACATACGAAAACTAACATGCTTGAAAGCTAGACATACAAAATAATTCAATGACAAGCACTGCACCAGGTGAAATAAATAATCCCCCCAAACTTAAAATTGACAATGGTTCAGACAAATTTAACAAACAGGTCAAATTAAATAGATATGGGGTACTGTGATTTTGAAACAACTAAAATCCGATTACCTAGTTGGATTCAAGTTAAGCAAATCCTATCAGACTTTCCAACATCCATGGAAAATATACAGAAAATAAGAAGTTGAGGAATGACATTAGGACAGAAAAGTAGGACCAAACTAGAACAAAATTGAGTAAGACAACCAAACACATTATTTTTTTCCTTTTTTTCATATTACAAATGGGGAATGAGCACCACAACAAGTCCTCCACAATTTGAAACCAACTATCACAAGTTACACAGTCCTTTTGTCCATAAAAGACCATTTTGCTTTGTCAGCAAAAAGCTCCAGCCAACGATTATTATTTACATGGTACTTGAACTCAAGACCTCCCCCTCTTAAGCCAAGTCCTTTACCAATTGTGCTAGCTCTTGTGGGTTACCAAATACACAATTAGCTTACTGAACATTGCTTGTATTTGCTTCAAATTGATTAGCTCACATTTTTACATAGTATTGCTTAAAATCGATCAACATCCTGCTGATCAGGAAGATACAAGAGTTCGAGCAAAAAGATCAACAAGGCGTTGAGTGAAGAAAAAAGATCTGGATGCATCTCACCTGGGTGTGGTAGCAAAAAATTTTTTGGGTGCCACACTACATTGTCAGCTCTAACAAAATTAGTTGATGTTAGTATTCACCCTGTTCACAGGTTAGCAGACTAGTCAGCTTTAATAGTCAACTTGGAGGAAACTCTCGTATGCGGTTCCATTCAGTGTCTTGTTGACATCTTCCCAGTTCTTCACGTGGTCTGATAATGGACCTTTGTGTATCTTGACCTGACGGCTCCTTAGCTCCATCACTGGAAGGCCTAGAAATGCTTGAACATCCTTAAGTTTCTGCAGCACAAGCATGATAAATAATGCATTGTGAGACTCACAATTTCAGGTGCTATCAACAAATGCAATACTATCATATTCACAAATTGAAAATTCAGATGGTAGGACACTTCCAGAGGAAAGGATTATCTCAACATGGGAACAATTTAAGGGTTCCCAAGACATAAATTAAATTTCTCCAGAATTTTAAAATACCTACTAAAATTTTACAACGAAAAGAATTCTTAGAATTAATTTAAAGGTCGGTTGGTTGGATAGCAGAAATCTTAGAAAACATATGCATTATTCCAATGATCAAGGTATTGCTCAGGGAACTTCAAAATATAAAAAAACGAGTTGGATTTTAAATGCCAATGATTTCATGAGAACATATCATGATAACTTACAGCAGGGCTTTTTATGAGATCCTCATAGTACAGAACAATGTGCCTGGTGCTATTGAAGTATTCTAAAGCCTTCGTAGCTGTGATCTCAATCTCCTTCAGATCAGAAATCAACAGTGTGGAATTGATCATAGGCTTGTACATTGCAAGTGTTTCGGCCTACAAGAGATTACAGGTAAGAGTTCAACACTATATGTAGCATGAAAGAGAGTCAGAATTGGTGGGAGAGAGGGAAAGAAAGAAGGACCTCTTCTGCAGAATGAACATGAGACTTGTGGGTTCCGTTCAATAGCTTAGCATGGCGATCGTAGGAATTCGCAAGAACTGAAACCATGCGACGTAGTAGATTTCTTCGGAACAGAAATATTGCAGATACACCCTTGCAGTTGAAGTAGTCTGCTATTTCCTTATGATGCTGCATTACTCCCTGCATAACCAATAATAAGCCAAATTAAACAAACTCTCAGTCCTAGTCCCCATGGATATAAATTACCTAAGGTTAGGCTACCTGGGGGTTGCTTTATATTATTTTAGTAAATAGTTGAGAAATTGAGTAGAAACTTACATCTGCAGAACAAAAACGAAGCTCTACTTCTGTAACCTTATTAGACCATGCACAGTGCTGTCCTAAAAGTAAATAATCTCCAAGCAAATATGGAAACCATAAAGTTCCTTTATTATTATGGTCAATAAGCAAAATAAATAGCTGATAGGTGTTTTCAAAAACACAATTCTTATTCCTCCTAAGAGTGTGATGCAGTATCAACTACAAATTGTATGTTCACCCCGTCATAATACCATAGAAATTGGATTTAATAAAAAGCAGTGCACAATCCATTCTGAGCATCAGCTGACATCCATCAAATAAGAAAAAGGAGCGAAGAATGCTACCTTACCACTTTTATAATAGCTTAAGGTACAACTACTCAAAACAAGAAACAAGAAGCTGGTGCGATAAATTTTGATCAAAATAGGTGTTTTCGAAAATCTGGTGGGAATTCGTAAAATGTTGAGGTTTCTATTAGAAATGGTAAAAATTTTAAGTGTCAATTGTTTCTAAAGGTTGATGCTGTTCCTAGTTGCTATGATAGTTTCTCATATAGTACCTAGATATCCTGATTGGATGAACACAAAGATAGACCTATACCAACTTACAATAACGTCACACATGACTATGAGTTTGTTAAACATTTAAAGGATTTACCAGAAGCATGTCTCCTGAGAGTAAGGTAAGAGTTACTGTTTTTTTTTTTTTTACTTTTTCTCCTTTCAAACTAAAACCAATATTTAAGCAGCATGTCACTGAAAAACAGGAAACATTTAGATCTTTTTTAATATTTAGATTGATAGGTTATTCTGAGCAACCACTTGTGTAGAGTGGTAGTAGCCAGCTTGAAGTTTTCAATTACAAAGCCAACGACAAAGTAAGTCTTTTTTTGGAAGCCATCTAGCAGCATAACTTAAGTAGAGATTTAAACTTTTAACCTACTTTTCAACCTCAGATACCTGATTAAGCATCCACTTGAAGCCAACTGCCGCAGAGCATTCGTTCTTGGAAGCGCTGGTGAACCAGTCCAAATTGTAGACTTTATCTAGAGTCTGCGTAATTGATGAAATATTTCTCCTCCTATCCAAAACAGAAAATATCTCCCCATTTGAGCTTACATTAACATGACTGTTTAACAATGTTTCAAACCATCCACTCCCTGATCTTTGCATCGATAATATAGAAAAATACCGTACAGGATTATGTGCACATTCAGCCCTGAAAAAACACCATCAAAGAACTTAAACACACTTTTTCATGAAATCCAATTCAAAAAAAAAAAAAAAAAAAAGGCAGAAATGCCCAATTACCTGCTAAAAGTTTCAGGATTTGGATAATGTACACTAGAAATTTGCAGATTTTCATTGTCATCATCAGGAAACGGCCTCTCAATGACTTGGATATCTTGAATTTTGATTTTACTACGGGTACTTATCTGCTTTAAACAAACTGAGCAGATATAAACACCGCAGACCATTGCAAACACTAAAACTATCATCCTTAACAAAATGGGAGTTTTCTTAGCAGGCTTTATGAATATAGAATCCTGTTAAACAGCAATTAATCTTGTTAATAATGGGAGAAAATAGTATGCAAACTAGCTATGAAGAAACAAGAACGGATGAAATTAAAGTACAAGTGTCATTTCAGTCTTGATTTTAGAAAGGCATGAAAAGAAATGACTATGCTAATTGAAATAATTCAAAAGAACAGACATGATTCACCACAAACAAATAACAAGCATGAGAAAGCACCAAAACAATAGAAAATCTAATGTCATGTAGACAGCCAAGTGAGGGAAAAGAAAGGAGCTTTACGAGAGGAAAAACAAATGGAGTGTCGGTTTGCGAATAGTAAGCATAAATAAGCTTAGAAATTGAAACGTGACCAACTAGGAAAACCAAGAAACAAACCCAGATCGGAACATGCATTGTTCCACAAACCCATTCAAAACATTTTCCACACAGATCAATGAATTTCAAAACTAAAACAACAATTTATAATAAGAAACCGCACTTTCTACAGCAAATAAAACCACTATAACTATTAAACTCAAAAAAAAAAAAAAAAAATCTTCAACACTACCCAGATAACTATGTTTTTAAAAAAAAAAACAAAAACAAAAAAAAAGTTTCCAACTTCGCCGAAAAAAAAAGAGAGAAAAATAAACAGCATTTTAAGGAAATCCCATTATTCTACTCAAAAAAAAGAGCGGGGGAAAAGGAGAGAATTAGTGGGCACCTTGTTTAATACATAGATATACTCAGCCATTGCTGTATTTCCAGTAGCTAAAGAGACAGAGAATCCACCAAAGGTAAAGCAAGAAAAAGGTGAAAATACAAACGAACACACACTCTCTTTCAGATTTTTATGGTATTCGTACCATAATAGATAAACCCCATCTTGAAGGTTCACAAAGTTTGTTCAAAGAGAGAGAGAGAGTGAGGAAGCTGCCAAAGAGAACATGACCAAATTTGGAGCTATTTCTGATTTGAAGCCTCGTGGAAAACAACGCTTCATTTAAGACCCGTGCTTTGCTTTTCTCTCCTCTTGTATTAGCCCAAGTAGGCGCTGCCTGTTCTTGTATTTATGTTGCTGGCTTTGCTGCCTACCTCGTTGTTGATCTCGCTCTAGATTTTGTCAAATTAATGGTACTATATATATTTTTTATTGTATTTTTCTTAAGTTTAGATATCTACCGTAAAAATGGAGTAATCTTTTTCGGAGTAAATTATAAATTAGTCCTTCTAATCTTACAAAATAAATTAAATAGTCTTTTTACTTTCAAAAATTAATTAATTTTCTTGACCCTTATTGATTATATGTGATTTAATATTATTTTATTTAAAAATATCTTTTTTCTTCATCAATTTTTCATATTATTTAATTTTTTTATTTTTTAAGAAAACTAAATAAATTGAAAAGAACATAAAATAAAGAAAATAGATTAATTAATTAATTTTTAAAAGTCAAGATACTAATTTATAACTTACTCATGTTTTTGGCCGTACGTTTGTCGTACGGAAAGCGAGAGGACATGAATTAATGTATGCGAAGTGTTAGAGACTGGGTCAGCTGCTTCAAAGTCTCACTCTAACACAACTCTTAACGATTGGTAAGACTCTGACTTTTGTTTGCCATACGAAATACACTACCATTGAAGAATGATCCAATTAATTAATTAACAAGCTAACATAACACGCAGGCTGTCCATTTATTGTTTTTTTTTTTTTCCTTTTCGAACAGGTCTTTCCAATTCCTACTACCATTTAAACGTGTTATTCTAATTAATTTGGTCTAACCTAAATTTTAAAATAGAATTAAAGTGATGGCATGTATATATACGTTTATGATTTTGGATTGAATTATTTTGAAAATACTATGGCTATAAACTCATAACTCAAAAGTATACAAACAGTATTTTTTTTTTTTTTTGAGGACATCAAACGGTTTGATTTAGTTTTTGGTGATACTGATCCCACTATTTTGATTTAGATTCTCAATCAGTTTTTATTTCAGTTAAAACTAAATTCTTCTTTAGATAATTTTAAAAACGGATCTTCACATTATGTATTTTAAAAAAAATTAATAATATTTTTTAATGTTCATCTAAAGTTTGAATCTAATATAAAAAGAAAAAATCACCATCATACCAACTCACCCTAATTGAGGAAAAATTAAAAAATTGAATTGATGTAATAGATTATTTCTTTTCAAAATCCTTGGAACATGGTGGCATGATAACATTCGTTTAACTCTTTCTTGGGAAAAGTTTAAACATAGATAATATAAAACGTCACTCTTTTTTATATAAAGATGGCACAATCAAATAAAAATTTAAAAAGAAACTGCAACTTGTTACATCAGAAAAAATCAAACAAAACTATTTTATAATAATGATTTTTATATAAAGATGGCATAACATTCATTATGAGTTTTTTTTATGGAAAATCTCAACCATTCAAAACTATAAAAAAAGTTTCAATTTTTTTCAACCAACAAAAAACTCATATCACAACCCAACAAAAGAACATCAAAACTTTATTTTAATGTCAAAACATTTTAACAAAGTAAAAACTTTGTGCACATAGGATGCTAACAATTATATGTAGTAATATAGACTTAACATCTATATTACTATACATAATTGTTAGCAAACTAAAAAGAAAAATAAAGGGAGCATATATACTCCTCCTCTTTTTCATGCTCTTTTTTATTATTATTTTCTTGTTTGAGAAAAGATACAAGTCGGAATTCTGGTGGTTTGATTAACATGACAATAAGGATTTTATTTTTTTATTATTTATTATTATTATTTTAGAAAGACAATAGGGAATTTAATACGATACCTTATGCTTTTTAGGTTATTATTTGTTCAAATCATTTTTTAATGAATATCCATATGCAACGGACATGTTTAAAGCTCAATCCATAAATGATTTAATTCTAATATATAAAAACTGATAAAAAAAATATTTATATCGTTAAAAGAAAATAAAAAAGAAAGAGAAAGTTATTGATTGTATAAAAGGCAAATACCAAGAAAAAGTTATAAAGACTTTAATCTAACAGTTAAACATGACCTTCCAATGTCATCTATGGGCTAGTGAAAAAAGCATCCTATAGTGTATTCTAATTGAGAAATACGAACAACAAGTAGCTAGGTTTGTATTCTTTATGTTCAAAAGTAATTATTTCATTGACTTTTCTCATAATTTAAAAAAATTATTAATTGTTTATCAAATCAACAATTTTTACTCCTACTTTCTTCAAGTATCATTTATGTTAAAATTATTAATTATTAAATTTAATCTTGATTTGCCTGAAATCAATATTATTTTATAAAATTGTTAGCTCTTTTGGCTGGGGTTATGATTGTTTTTATTCACACTTTTTTAAAGTGTCCTTTATAGGATGGCACAGTTACAATCATGGATAATCAATAATGAGTACTCTATAATCTCAGGCTTGAGCTCATAAGAGACGACCACGTCGTCATACTCGTCAAGTTGGCATCCATTAACGGGAGGTTCAACAACTACCCCCGCCTCTGGAATTCCGAGCTATGAACCTTTTAATTAAGAGCAAAGCTCAACCTCATACCTCAACTAAAGAGAGCTTGTAACTCAATAATATATATTTCTTCTAATAAAAAGTCATAAGTTTATTACGAATATTGGATGTTTGTCTTAAAAAAAAAAAAAAAAAAAAAAAAAAAACCCCTTATATCTCATTGTAACAACATCGTCGTACATAATAGGGAAAGGCTCTTCCCTAACCATCTCATATAATAGTGAAAATAAATAAAGACAATTGTGTTCCTTAAACAGAGATAAAATATCACCATATTGATCATCTGTCATAGGATTTCCAATAATAGCGGTCTTGTATCCATCGAATACGTACATCTCATAATTGGGCATCAATCTCATTCCTCTTGATGTTTTCCTCGTTAGCCGTTCCTCTCTAACTTAACATAATCCATGAATATAACATAATCATCTATCTATCAATTATCTCATTATATCTTGTCTCATTCTAATATATCGACTTTTACTATTATAAATTGAATTCTTTGTTGGAGCTATAGTAGCCTGATAATCACAATGTTGTTACAAATGAAAGAAACATATTGCTATGTAAAATTTTTTAGTCGTTCGATCGGTTTCGAATCCAGTCTTCTCTAATATGATAAATTATGACCATATATAGTGGACCTTGCTATGCAAGTATGCTTAGATGACTTTCAAGAGATTCTACTATTTTATTTTATTTCAGGAGAGTTAATTTGTATCACTATATCCTTCCAATCTTGAAGGATATCAGTCAAACCATAACACATCATATAAAATTTTTGGGAAAAAAAAAATTTCTTCCATTTCATTTTAAAACGGTTTCTGTTAACATATTTGAGGGGGTGGGGGGCGATTATTTCGTCATATTTTAGCTAAAAAAAAAAAAAAGGATCGTAGCAATGTTCTTTGTAAAATTAAAAATTCTCAACTGTCATGTATTAAACTTTAAGTATGCCTATCAATGTGATGAATATTTTTAGAATGGTGTTTTCCCCAAAATCATTACTCTCAATCAACATTTTTATTTTATTTATTTATTTATTCTCATAAATAAGACTCTGCAATCTACAATTAGTGGTCGGATAGCTTGGGGGTTATTAGTACTCTTGTTATAAAATAATGAATGTCTATGACTATTTTATATTCTCACTATTAATGTGATTCAATTCATTATTTAATATGAGAAATTAAAAATGATGATGTAATTTATTTAATTATTTATGCATCTTTTAATGGTTCATAGTACATTTTAATTCTCTTCCTAATCTTAAAGCTTATAAATAGACTTGATTGTTCATTAGTTTGTGTACAAGTGTTTTGTAGAGATTGAAAGAATCATTTGAAGTTATTATATCTTGTATTCACTTTATTTTATAGTAAATTCATTTTTCTATCATTTGTTTCTACAATTCTACTATTATTACCATTTCTTTTATAATACGTTATCGATACGAAACTCTAACCAATCGAATAATAGACAATGAGGTATATATCTACCAAAAGACTTAACCATTCGTTTCAACCATTGGATTTTTTTCTACACAAATGCTTTACCAAAAGATCTAAATTA